TTCTCCTTGCTAGAAAGATTCAGATTCAAAGAATGGTTGCGTAAGTACTGATGAATACATGCAAATCTGTGTAGCAGTTACTCCTGTCTGTTAGATTTGGATTCCTTTTGGGGTTAAAAACAAACTTTTTCTTGACAGGAACACTGCTATGATCCTTCAGAGTGGGTCCGGGCACCTGACCAGGAGACTAAAACTGTGCAGCGCAGCTCAGCAAGGGAGATGAAGAGCAAAATATCCAATTATAAAGATGACCCAAAGACTCAGCATGAGATACCTGTTTGTGAGGAGCACTTATCTGGTGCAAAATGCATAAAGACGATGTGCCTGATGAACCACTCAGCTCACACTCACTGGTTAAGGACAAAATGAAAGCAGCGTTCAAACACAGGCAAAAATTGGTTCATGATCCATGTCTTCAGTCATCCTAGACCTCTTCCCCCAGTTTCTTGATACATCTGGCTTGGTAAGAATAACTGTAAAGTGCATCATGTATTCAATGGTAGACTATCCTCTTTCTTCTTCATCCCAACCCCAAAAGGCAAGAAAATGAGAAAGATCAGCTCATCTGAAGCTGAGGACTGCCTGGTGAAGTTCATGAGGGTATGTTGTATGATAAAACGGTTCTGTTTGTGTTAGTGTTGCTCCATGTATCGAAAGTTCAATACTTTTTTCCATACTACAGTGTCAGAAACAAATATTATTTCAGTACTCCTTATTTCAGAACATAGTGAATGTTTAAATGTAGTCATATGATTTAACATTTGAAGATTTGTATTTAGAAAGACTACATTTGAAAATCAGATGTCAATTAATTTTTTTGCATTTAAGCAAAGAAGTACCAGCTGTCCAGACACATGCTGTAATTTTCCCCACAGTGTCTTTTTGGTCTTGAATATCTTAGGTTTTTATAACCATAATTTTCATAATGGTATCATAACCCTAGTGTGCTTCTTCAACATTGCTTACTATTCCACAAATTAAAGTTTATTCTTTCTTTTTTCTTTCTTTTTTTCTTTTAGTCTGTCTGCTTTTTCAATTTCTTTGTGCCTTTGTATTTCAGATAAGAGTGAGCATGGTAGTCTTCCTTATGAGAAGTGGATCAGCACAGCCCTTTCTTTTTTGTTGTGGGGAAAAGAAGAGCAGCATCCAGAACTACTACAACTCCGAATCATAAAAAGTTTGGATGGTATGTTAAAATTAAAACTGAAAACAGTGATTTGTAAATTATTTTTGACCTGTATTTCAAATAATAAATTACTACATTATTTGATGTTATACCTTTTTTTTTCCAAAATAAACACTTATTTCAATTTTGATTTTTGCAACATATTTAAAAATACAGTTTGGACAGTAAAGCTGGCTTTTCACTGGGAGAATTTATTTGAAAATGTTTTAATTTGGTCCCATTAAAAGTGTTTTGATTAGCAATCTAGAGGGTAGTGAAATGTTAAGTGATACTGAATACTGAGTACTGAATCTATTTAGTTTTCTCCACTACTTGTTGGGTGGAAAAAGCAGAATATCACACTGTAATGATTGTCTGTACTGATGTCAAAAGGACATGTTTGTCTTTAAAAACATTGTCAATGTAATTGTGAAAAGTGGGTACATTTTCCTTTAAACAAGTGTCAATGCAGGGTTTTGATGACCACATGAATGCATTCATGTGGCCATCTGCATTCAGGACACAGCAGTTAGATTTACAGTGATTTGTGTTGATTTGAAAGACATTTTTATGGATGACAAAATGTATATGGTGCCTTGCTTCAACTTTGTGATGTGAAATGCCATGAGTTCAACACAGCAGAGCAGTTCATGAAAAATGCAATGTTTGGAATGGTGGTTTACTGCAGTATTAAGTTTTAAATCTTCTCAATTCATTTTTGAGTTATGATGTTTTTGTATAAAATCCAAAAATGAAATGAGTTACTCCAGTGGAGTTATTTTTGCATGTGCTCCCAAAAGTTTTGAAATATTAGAGTTACAATTTAGTAAATGATAACAGCGCTTCCGGCAGGTTCCAGTGCCCTGTGAACTCTGTAAAATTTGGCCTAAAATCACCTAAACCTGGCCTGGCGACGCCCATGATGGTCTTTTTTTCTCATTTGATTCGTTTCCGTTAAAATAGACCTAAACAGACAAAATGTTTCATAACACTGAGTCTAAGTTTCTCTTAGATCTTTAGAGACAGTCTGCACTGCTCCTGTTTTAGTGTTATTCTACGTAAAAAAAAAATGCAAAAGAATTAGAATTCCTGCTAAACTATTTATTGTGCTAAAGTTTTATGATACAATCGTGGGAGAGCCAATAATTTAAAAACAGGTGTGCTAGTTTTTTATATCAGCTGCTCTATTTTGCGGAGCCTACCATGGCAGACAGCAGCTTAAGGTAAGGTGATACACGGCGTGACCACATCACACCAACACTAGTATCTCGTGTAACAGCACGACCTTGAATGAATTATTGTCATTATACAACAGTTTCAGCACTGATAGGCCTATGTATTATTAGATTAACAGACAAACTGTGACAAAAATTGATTACATGAAAGCATATTTACTATTTGGTAAAGAATTAAATTGCCTAATTACACGCATCTATTTCTGTGCACCAAAGAACTACATTTGTTATCAACAACTGTAATATTGAATAAAATGGAACTTATTAAGGATTCTAGGAGGTTGTGACAACGTACAGACAACGTAGTACTGATTACTTTTGATGTCTCATCAAGGTTGTCACAACGTTGTCACAACATCCTAGAAAGTTGTCAGACAACGTTGTCACAACTTTCCGAGGAATTACATTTCAACGTTGTGACAACGTAGAGAGCACCAAGCAGACAACGTTGTGGGCACCAAAACACTACGTTGTCACAACTGTGTTTGCAGGGTTGTGCTGCCAGTCTGTCTTCCTCATAGCGCAGCCTCTTCTTAAAACACTTCTCAATACTCATCTGTTTGGTAAACATTGTATACAACCCCGATTCCAAAAAAGTTGGGATGCTGTGTAAAATGTAAATAAATGTAAATAAAAACAGAATGTAGTGATTTACAAATCTCATAGACCCATATTTCATTCATAATAGAACATAGAACACATATCAGATGTTGAAAGTGAGACATTTTACCATTTCATGAAAAATATGAACTCTTTTAGAACTTGATGGCAGAAACACCTTCCAAAAAAGTTGGGACAGGGCCGTGTCTGCCGTTGTGTAGCATCCCCTTTTCTTTTAACAACAGTCTGTAAACATCTGGGAAGTGAGGAGACAAATTGCTGGAGTTTTGGGAGAGGAATGTTGTCCCATTCATGTCTGATGTAGGATTCTAGCTGCTCAACAGTCCTGGGTCTTCCTTGCCGGATTTTTCATTTCATGATGCGTCAAATGTTTTCTATTGGTGAAAGGTCTGGACTGCAGGCAGGCCAGTTCAGCACCCGGACTCTTCTTCTGCGAAGCCATGCTGTTGTGGTGGATGCAGTATGTGGTTTAACATTGTCTTGCTGAAATATGCGAGGCCTTCCCTGAAAGAGATGCTGTCTAGATGCAGCAATATATTGTTCTAAAACCTCTATATAATACTGTTCAGCATTGATAGTGCCTTTCCAGATGTGTAAGCTGCCACGCCATAGGCACTAATGCAACCCCAAACCATCAGAGATGCAGACTTTTGAACTGTGTGCTGATAACAAGCTGGACGGTCCCTCTCCTCTTGAGTCTGCAGGACACGGCGTCCATGGTTTCCCAAAAGAATTTCAAATTTTGATTCATCTGACCACAGAACAGTTTTCCATTTTGCCTCAGTCCATTTTAAATGAGCTTTGGCCCAGAGAAGACGGCAACGTTTCTGGATCGTGTTGACATATGGCTTCTTCTTTGCAAGATACAGCTTTAACTTGCATTTGTGGACTGCACAGTGAACTGTGTTCATAGACAATGATGTCTAAAAGAGTTCCTGAGTCCATGCAGTGATTTCCAGTACAGAATCATGCATGTTTATAATGCAGTGCCGCCTGAGGGCCCAAAGAGCACGAGCATCCATTATTGACCACTGGCCTTGTTCCTTGCGTACAGGGATTTCTCCAGATTCTCTGAATCTTTTGATGATATTATGTACTGTAGATGGTGGGATATTCAAAGTCTTCACAGTTTTACACTGAAGAACATTTGTCTGAAATTTTTAGACTTTTAGACAGTTTTTCGCAGACTTTTTTGAGATGTGTTGCTGCCATTAAGTTCCAAATGAGTTAATGTTTTTCATGACATGGTAAAATGTCTCACTTTCAGCATCTGATATATATTCTATTGTGAATAAAATATGGGTCTATGAGATTTTCAAATAATTGCATTATGTTTTTATTTACATTTATTTACATTTTACACAACACCCGAACATTTTGTAATTGGGGGTGTCATCAGTAATGTAAAGACAACTAGGTACTTTTTCTAAGAAAAAGCTAATTCTAGTCAGGGCAACTTTACTAGTTACATATAGCAGCTAGCTAACATTATGCTAACATTATGCATGCTTCCTGCTCACTCTCCTGCTAGCTCCTTCACTTTCCTGACCCAAACTGCATTCACAAAGCCACCAAACTAGTAATGAAGTACAATGTCTTTTATGGAAATGGATTAATAAAAAAACGCTAAGTATTAGACTAAGGATTCGAATACCAAATTTGAAATGCCCATCCTCAGCCAAAACCATACCCTGGTTAACTGTTGTGTGGTGATGTAAGTCAGTCAAAGTCATATGTTACAACTTGTACAAGAATGCAAATCCAATCTTCACATTCTTTGTATTGAGAAACGTGAAGTGGAGTGGGGACATGGTAGGAATGGAAACAGGAGGGGGGCAAAGTCAGGATGTGGAATTCCTGACACATAGGAATTCATTGGAATTTTTTTTATATTGATCTCTATGAAAAACATCTTGTTAATGACTTTACAGTCATTAAATTGTTCTGCAGAGCACTGTATGTGTGTAAGTCTCACCTACCAATTTCAACCGATGTGTGACCAGTATCCTGTTGTCTGTAAACGGTACAGTTGTAAACTCCTGCATCATCAGCGACCAGATTTGTGACCAGGAGAGAGAAGTTTCCATGTTTGACCTCCTCCGTAAAGAAACTGGCTCTTCCACTGTAAGCTGGATCCTGAGCCTCTGGTTTACTCTCTCTGTCTTGGAACAAATGTACTAAAGTTTCAGAGTCTGTTCTCTTCCACTCCACTTTCAGCTCTTCCGGTGATATGGGGGCTTCAACATAACAGGGCAGCATCACTGAGCCCCCCAGCTTCACTATCAGAGGACCAGAGGGGCCGAGCACATGGAACCCTGAAAGAAGAGCAAACACAGTGAGATGAGTAATATTTTTTACTTTTTCATTTCTATACACTGCCAGAGAAAAGAGCACTGTCCAGGTAAATTTTAGTCCCTAAACAAGTTCAAACAATGTGAATGTACTCTCAGAGGTATGATATGGTAATTAAGGTCCAACTGTTTAAATGTACACTACATTCACATTCCCAGTGAAGAGAGACTCAACATTTTTAAGTAGAAAAATAATATAAAATGCCAAGAATCAGTATGGGATGTATGGAGTCAATGCAACTTAAAAAATATAGGTGCAACAGAATTTGATGCAATTATGTTCCCTAACTAAAGATAATGAAGTCCTACACCCCAGCGACGGCATTTGCACCCTGACAGGTACAGTTTTTTTTCTGAGAGTGTATGTAAATGATCATGATTTCCACTGTATTACATTATGTGATAAGCAGTCGACAATTTTGGCGTTGCCCGTGTAGGCCTACATGGTGTTTTTTAAGCAAACTGCAAGACACTTACCTCTCTTCACTTTCGTTTTCTTCAAAAACTTGTAGTGTTTTTTTTTCTTACAAAACACACCCTTTCCTTTAATGCAAAATCTGCATTAACCACATCCTCTGCCTTGTAATGAAAAAACATGTCTCTTTCTTTACTTTCATTTTCTTGAAAGGGATAAAAAAGCACTTGGATTATAAAACACACCCTGGTCGTCTAGTCTTAATATACACGTCTATTGGCTATTGAGTCAAAATGTATTGAATGTGACACGTTAATGACTGCTTACATTTTACTTTCAGGTTATAATGGCTATAACGTCTCGCAATTAAACCACTTTAAAATTTTTGTTTTCTCTTCGAATATTTGACTTGAATGCCATTTTTTACACAATTACCGTATTTCTGTGTCTCAGAGAGAGAGTTTAAGGTCATGTTTTGAGGAGAGCAGAAGGCGTAGAAGCATCGTGTGCTTCCTTATTTTAGTCTGACTGAACTACATTAGACTCTGTTCACTGAAGCAGCTCAACAGTAAATATAAATGAAAATGAACAGTGTTTAAATCACTGCTTACCGTCACAGATGAACAGAACTCCTAATAGAAAAAGGAAAATAATTAAGCCCATCTTCACATCTGAGAGGAAGATGGTTCTGTATAAAACCATTTCACTTTCACTTCTTAGACTCTGGAGGTGGGCAGGACAAAGAAGGCGGCTGTCAATCACTTGGAGACTCGAGCCAATCACATAACAGCTCCCAAACTCTAAGGAGCCAACAGGAGTACAGCACTAAAGCTGGAGTAAAAACAGTTCTAATAGTACATTAATTGCCCAGTTTTAGCGCCGTAACTAAGATCAGAATTTTAGTGAGGTCCATTTTGCAGAAATATGACTCACATCTCACAGTGAATAAAATATTAAAATATGAGTGTTACACCAACTGCCACTCTCCTTTTGTTTCTTTTTTTAATGAAATCATTGCTCCCTTTTACCTATCCATAACTGTCATGCCACTTTTCCTTTCATTTCTTCCTTCCCCATCCCCCCATTCTTCTATAAACTGCTATTACTGTTCCATAAACTGATTTGACTCAGTTACCCTGTTTAAGTTTAATTAACCATTTAACTATTTATTTGTATGTTTATTTTCAGCTGATAATACACACTGAGACCACATACAGTAAATCAAGTAATAGTTTCAAATTGATTTTATTTCATTTGACCTCCCTCCTCTCTTTAATAACATTAAACATACGAAAAATGTTTAAGCATTAATAAACTATTTTGCTCAAATGCTCCATATCAACCCATTTATTTTGGACTCCCTCTAGCATTTGAGAAAACCGGAAAACATTGCAGAGTGGTAATTCTCCCACAAGTTCTCCGATAACACGGAGTTTGGCAGATTTTGATTGGCCATACTACAGTAACAGCGCTCACAGAAAACAAATCAAATTTCATCACCTCAGAAATGCAGCATAATAAATATTCTGTCCCCATTTGATTGATTACACCTGTGGTAATGTGGCCACGGCCCTGAGTAGACTGTAATATCATAATTATGCTGTTTCTACATTTATGGTGTGTTCCAATCGGGAGGCAGCTGTCTAAGTAGGCAGTATTCTAAGGCAGCATTTGTGCACTCCCGAGACGAAGGCTGTCCCATTCGGAAGGCAGCATAAGACAGCTGCCTTGTAAGGTGCCTTATTTTGACCAAATCTGAAGGCAGAATCGCGTTGTATCCTTCTCAGCGAAGGCGATCGCACAATACTGTTCACCATCTGAGAGTTCCATCGTTCCAGTTAGATAAACATGGCGGACGGAGCGGCCGTTTCTGCCGACCGAGGAGTTTACAAATGTAAGTTATTTCTTCACTTCTGTCTTTACTGTTTTGATTGATTGTTGTATTTGTATAAAGAATTTAACATATTTGTGTTTTTAGGTCTCTAAAAAGTGTTCCTGTAGTAAACTTTTTTTTAGAAGTTTGTCTAAGGCGACCTGACAGGCTGCGTTCACAGCTCGTTAGGTGAAGCTAACATTAGTTAGCTTAGCTAGCGGGCTAGCGGACCAATTTACAAAAATGGTCATGATCTAAATAATAAAATAATAAAATAAATCTGAATTTTCCTAGCAGAGGGTATCAGATAGTAAAGAGCGCAACTACAGCTTCACATAAAATCACAAATAAAAAAGAAGCTCAGGTCTTGTTTACAACCCCATTTCCAAAAAGTTGGGATGTTGTGTGAAATGAAAATATAAACAAAATTCTATCATGTGCAAATCATTTAATCCCTATATTTTATTGAAAATAGTACAAAGACAACAAACCAAATAGTGAAACTGGGAAATTATTTTTTTTTTTGAAAAATATATGCCCATTTTGAATTTGATGCCAACAACACGTTCCAAAAAAGTTGGGACGGGGGCATGTTTACCACTGTGTTTCATCACCTCTTCTTTTACCAACACTCTGTAAGCGTTTGGAAACTGAGGAGACACTGCTGTAGTTTAGAAATTGAAATGTTTTTCTGTTCTTGTTTGACATAGGATTTCAGCTGCTCAACAGTTTGGGGGCTCATTTGTCATATTTTTCATTTCTTAATGCACAAAATGTCTTCAGTGGTGACAGGTCTGGACTGCAGTTAGGCCAGTTTAGCACCCAGACACTTTTACTACAAAGCCATGCTGTTGAAATACATGCAGAATGTGATTTTACATTGTCTTGCTGAAATAATCAAGGCCTTCCCTGAAAAAGACGTCATGTGGATGGCAGCATATGTTGCCAAAACATGTATATATCATTTCATCATGAATACTGGCTTTTGAACTGTGCACTGGTAACAAGCTTGAGTGGTCTTTAGCCTGGAGGACACAGTGTCCATGATTTCCAAAAAGAAATTTAACTGTTGATTTGTTGGACCTCAGAACACTTTTACACTTCGCCTCAGTCCATTTTAAATGAGCTCAGGCCCAAAGAAGGTAGCAGCATTTCTGGATCCTGTTTATATATGCTTTCTTCTTTGTATTTTAGAGTTTTAACTTTTAAAGCATTTGAGTATGTAGTAATGGACGGTGTTCATAGACAGTGGTTTTCAGAAGTTTTTCTGAGCTCATGCAATTATTTCCACTATAGAATCATGTCTGTTTTTAATGCAGTGCTGCCTGAGGGCCCAAAGATCATGGCCAACAAATACTGGTTTTTGGCCTTGTCTCCTGCTTACAGAGATTTCTCCAGATTCTCTGAATCTTTTAATGTTATTATGTAAAGTAGATGACGAAAAGCAAAACTTCTTTGCTATTTTACGTTGAGAAATGTTATTCTTGAATTGTTGCACTATTTGCTCGTGCAGTCTTTCACAGAGTGGTGAATCCCTCCTCATCTTAAATTCTGAAAGACTCAGCCTCTCTGAGATGCTCTTTATATACCCAATAATGTAACTGACCTGTTGCCAATTAACAACCAGGTTACACAAATTTACCAGCCTTTTTTTGCCCCCGTCCCAACTTTTTTTGCAATGTGTTGTTGGCATCAAATTCATAATGGGCATATATTTTTCAAAAAAACAATAAAATTTCTCAGTTTCAACATTTAATATGTTGTCTTTATACTATTTTTAATTAAATGAAGGGTTTAAGTGATTTGCATATCATTGCATTTTGTTTTGTTTTTTTTTTGGCACAAAAACTTTTTTGGAAATGTGTTTGTAAAATTATTAAAGAAAATAAAAATAACTAAGCAAAAATTAAGCAGTTTCAAACCTTTGGAGCTTTGTTAAACCTGCCTCTGTACACAGTGAGCTAAATGCAGGTGTGGCAATAATTATGACGTGTTTTTGAAAAATTGTTTCTTTGAATAATTTTATCACCTCAAAGAAAATGACAGTTGTCTCATTTTTTCCGTCTGTCAAACTTTTAGCTCAGTGTAGTGAATCTTGGATGAAGTCATGCGGTAGCGGAGGTGTAGATTTAGATTTGGGGGCATTTCACAGTGTTCGTCTAGGAGTGAATGAAGGATTAGAGGACTTTAACTGGCATAGCAAAAGACTCAACATGTGCAGATGATCAAACAGAGTGATTTTGATCAGGTTCAGTTGAATTTAAACTGTTAGTTTAAGTAACCTAATATCTAAATATTGTTCTTTATTAAGAGCTTGATGTTATAACTGTGCTCTCCACTAGATGGAGCTCAAGTCAAGTTCCATTACTAATTCTGCAACATGTTCTAGACCACGTGTGTCAGGCTCCAGTCCTCGCGGGTCCAAACACTGCAGTACACTGCTTCTTTAAACACGCCTGATTCAGCTCATCAACTAATTAGCAAGGCCTTCATGAACTGAATTCAGAGCGTTAGATGAGGGTAACCATCTCCAGAGCACTTTGGCTCAGAAGGTCCCCAATTTGACATGCCTGCTCTGGACCACAGACTGTGTATAAGACTGGACTGGACCATGAGGTGAAAAGTGAAGCCAAACCGTCTCTGACGCCCTCTGGTGGCTGACTGCAATACAACTTTTAACCCCACCCACTCCCATGAAAGTGAACACCACTGAAACCAGGCTTTGATTTAAATTTACACATTCAGTATTTTTGCCAGTGGTGTTGTGTCACTTCTATAAGTATTAGTGCCTCTAAAACATACGCCAGTGTTTTTTTTTTCATGATAGATTCGTTCAGGAACGTAACCAGGTTTAGAAGTTTAGTGAGGTCCATTTTGCAGAAATGTGACCAACATTTTACAGTGAATAAAATAACTACAGAATGTGAATATTACACCAACCCTAAGTTCCTCCTTTGTGTTTTTTACCAAATCAGCAAATCATTTCTCCTTCTTTACCCATCCTTATCTGTTATGCACCTTTTCTTTTCATTTGTTCCTTCCCCATCTCTCCATTCTTCCATATTCTGTTCCATAAACTGATTTGACCCATTTACCTTGTTTAAGTTTATTTAATTACTTTAAAATTACTTAATCATGTTATCTACACCGATCAGGCTTACAATTACAGTCTACAATTACAGACTGTAGTCCATCTGTTTCTCTGCATACTTTGTTAGTCCCCTTTTATCCTGTTATCCTGTTCTTCAGTGATCAGGACCCCCATGGACCCTCACAGAGCAGGTACTATTTGGGTGGTGGATCATTCTCAGCACTGCAGTGACACTGATGTGGTGGTGGTGTGTTAGTGTGTGTTGCGCTGGTCTGAGTGGATCAGACACAGCAGTGCTGCTGGAGTTTTTAAACACCTCAGTGTCACTGCTGGACTGAGAATAGTCCGCCAACAGTGGCCTGTGACCACTGATGAAGGACTAGAGGATGACCAACTCAGCAGCAGATGAGCTATCGTCTCTGACTTTACATCTACAAGGTGGACTGACAAGGTAGGAGTGGCTAATAGAGTGGACAGTGAGTGGACACAGTGTTTAAAAACTCCAGCAGCACTGCTGTGTCTGATCCACTCGAACCAGCACAACACACATTAACACACCACCACCACCACGTCAGTGTTACTGCAGTGTCTGTCATCTGTCATCTGTCATTTGTTGTGCTGCCTCTGTAACGTTAGTGCTGGTTTGACTTTTTTGTATTACATCAGTAATGTTAATTTTATTAATATTTGACATTATTAATATTTGGCATTATTAGAGTTGATATTTCGCGTTCGAATTTATTCATATTTGTATTATTTATATTTTTGCATTTTTTTTAGTTGAGATTTCTGTTGCGGAACCATTCATCAGTGGCTGTACAACCCGGAGTGGATGTGGAGGTGGTTTGTTTTGCGGGAGAAAAACGGCTGCGCTCTAATACGGCTCTCTGCTCCCTACTCCCTACATAGTGCATGAGGCCATCACGAAACAGCGCTCCTACCCATACACAGTGCACTACATGTATAATAGGGCGCTATTTGGGATTGAGC